GAAGGAGAGACTGCTGTAGAAGGTGGAAGTAAGGTTGAGGAATGCATGGTAGAAAAGCTTTTGCTGTACTAATTGTAGACTTCCCCCTCAGACTAGATGTTGGGTAAATCTTTCAAACTCCATTTATAGAAATAGATCATTTATCTTTTAGTTTATTTGTAGGATATTGCAGCTCAGCTGTCAAATAGCATTTAAAAGAACAGACTGGATCTCAGAAGTGATACAGAAGTGGTCAAGAATGATATAGTGGGCAACCTACTCATAACTTCTCACATTGAATGTTTACTATACAACTTAAAAGTAGCTCAACATAAAAAAAAATTAGGGCAGGAAAGTTTTACATATCTAATAAGTTGAACATCAGTTGATTTCTCTATGGTTTTTACACAGGTTCTCCAGAACTGGTTTTCCTCAGCCATGTAATACATCCGTGCCACTTCTATATTCGGAGATATTCACAGAGGAAGACAGCAGTTTTTTTGGAGAAAAGGCTGAATGACTTTTGTAATAATAAGAGCTCATGGTTTAGTCCTTCAGATGTTTTGGAACTGGGTAAATCAAATATTTCTGAAAAGTTTTTTATTAACTTAAAAGTCCATGCTATAGTATACATTTAGTATAATGTATACAAACTTGCAATTATTTATTTTTGCATTAATTAAAGTATAAAAGACCTGTTAGTGAAAGTACCCCATAGATTCTATATCTCTTGTGCTTCAGCGACATCATTAAGGCTTTAGACTAGAGGTATAGGGCAAATATCCACACTTGACTCACAGTTAGCACTTCCATGAAAGCAGCAGAAGTCTATAGAGTATCCATATTCTTGACATTTGACGGGTGTTGAGTGCTTGGCCCATCTGAAAAATTTGCCACTGCTTGAGTACGTCTGCATGCTATTGCACATTGTTTAGTAACTTTAATATGACATACTACATAAAGGTGCATTAGCCCACGCTAATGTGCAGTAGCAAAGGCAAACTTTTTTTTTGTGATGCCTCGCTAATTATACTGTGCATTAGCAGTTTTTGTCATGACACACTAACGCACAGTAGAACAGTCCATTGTGCATTAAAGTGTCTTGTGTAGCTGCACCCTTGTGTACCTGGCTGTAGATTTAGATGCTTTCACTTTTCCAGACTCTGGACATGATTGTTAATTTTTTGGTGGGGGTTGCAGTGGTGCCCTGCTCCTGCCCCTGCCCATTCTGTTGCCCTTCACTGACAAGCCACACGCCCCCCCAGCCCTGCTGCTGCCCCTCACTCCCAAACAGCAGTACCCGGCCCCACACCCCTTGCTGCTGCCCCTCACTCCCGACCCACAGCCCCTGGCACTGCCAGTACCCTACACACCCAACCCACAGTCGCCCGTCCCATCCACTGTGCCCCTCGCTTCTGATCTGCAGCCCCCTGCTGGTGCCCCTCACTCCCAACTCGCAGCCCCCTGCCCTGCCCCCCAGTCCTGCTGGTGCCCCACTCTCCCAACCCACAGACCCCTGCTCCCCCTAGCCCCGCTGCTCTCACATGCTGTCTGTCTGTCTCTTGCTCTCGCTCGCTGGCTTGCCTGAGCCTGCACAGGGAGCACGTGACCCCCGACAACCAATCACCTTGCCCACTGCTCCAAGCCCAAAGCAGCCAGTCTAAGACGGCAGAAAACCTGCACATTTGCTCTTTTTTAAAAAACCCGGCTGGACGTAGCACATGGGTCCAAAAAAGATGACTTGTCCAGGAACCCCCTGACATATGGTAAACCTATTTAAAGGGTCCCTCCATCTTGAGGGTGGGGGCAGCAGGCATCTCTGGAAACACAGAACCAAGCTGAGGCCTCCAGAATGAGCTCAATCAGGCTCTGGATGAACATGTGAGTAAATTACCTGAAATTTAGCCAGTAACTTAGAATTAAGTGATCTAGACATGTATTAAAAGGGGCAAATGAGCCTATTCTGACTTCTTCAAGGCAGTTTCCTTTCAATATTCCTTTTGTTTTGTATTTCTTCCCCATGCTCTCCCTCTTTGATCAATAAAGCTATCTGTTAACTAGGAGCTAACTCGGAGGACCGAGTTAGAGAACTTCTGGAGGGGCTGGGTGTGTTCAGATCAGCAGGTCCAGATGCTCTCCACCCCAGGGTGTTGAGGGAATTGGCAGGGGTTATTGCAGGGCCCCTGGCACAGCTTTACAAGCACTCATGGTGGTCTGACCAAGTGCCAGATGACTGGAAGAGGGTCAAGTGCCAGATGACTGGAAGAGGGACAATGTGGTCCCCACCTTCAAAAAAGGGAGGAGGGAGGACCCGGACAACTATAGGCCCATTAGTCTTATTTCAATCCTGGGGAAGCTCTTTGAAAAGATTATCAAGGAGCACATCTGTGAAGGGCCAGCAGCGGGGATGATGCTCAGGGGTAATCAGCATGGTTTCATTAGGGTCAGGTCCTGTCAGATCAACCTGATTGCCTTCTACGATCAGGTCACAAAATCATTGGATGCAGGTGTCGCGGTAGATGTAGTCTTTCTGGATTTCAGGAAGGCCTTTAACACTATCTCCTACCCCATTCTCATTAAAAAGCTAGGCGACTGTGGCATTGATGCCTACACAGTCAGACGGATAGCAAATTGGCTGTGGGGCCGCACTCAGAGAGTGGTGGTGGATGGGTCATATTCGACCTGGAGGGATGCGAGCAGTGGAGTCCCCCAGGGCTCGGTCCTTGGGCCCACACTGTTCAATTTCTTTATTAGCGATCTGGACAAGGGGGTGAAAAGCACCCTGTTCAGATTCACAGATGACACCAAGATTTGGGATGAGGTGGGCACGCTAGAAGGGAGGGACAGGATACAGCTGGACCTGGAGGGGTTACAGGGGTGGGCAAATGAGAATAGGATGGGATTCAGTACTGACAAGTGCAGGGTGCTGCACTTGGGCAGTAAGAACCAGTCGCATACCTGTAGGCTGGGGAACTCTCTTCTCAAAAGCACAGTTTCAGAAAGAGATCTTGGAGTCATTTTCGATTCCAAGATGAACATGGGCTGCCAATGCGAGAACACAATCAGTAGGGGTAACTGCACCTTGTTGTGCATCCACAGATGCATCGCAAGCAGGGCCAAAGAGGTGATCCTCCCCCTCTATGCAACACTGGTCAGGTTGCAGTTGGAGTACTGCGTCCAGTTCTGGGCACCGCACTTCAGGAGGGATGTGGACAGCATTGAGAGGGTCCAGAGGAGGGTCACTCGCGTGATCCGGGGACAGCAGGGCAGACCCTACGAGGAGAGGCTATGGGACCTTAACCTGTTCAGCCTTCACAAGAGAAGGCTGAGAGGGGGCGTGGTGACCATCTGTAAACTTACTAGGGGGGACCAGCAGGGAATGGGAGAGACCTTGTTCCCCTAAGCACCTCCCAGAGTAACAAGGAATAACGACCATAAATTGTTAGAGTAGGTTCAGACTAGACATTAGAAGGCACTACTTCACAGTCAGGGTGGCTAGGATCTGGAACCAACTTCCAAGGGAAGTAGTGCTGGCTCATACCTTGGGGGTCTTTAAGAGGAGGCTTGATGATTACCTAGCTGGGGTCATTTGAGCCCAGTTTTCTCTCCTGCCCAGGGCAGGGGCTTGGACTAGAAGATCTGCAAGGTCCCTTCCAACCCTACATCTATGAATCTGTTATAGCATGCCTCACTGTGTATGCTTGAGGGTGAGATTAGCCTTATAGCTCTCTTTGCTTGGCTAGCTAAGGGAGGCTACTCTTAATGCTTCAGGTTATAAGGAGCACCCAGATATATCATGCTGGGGACAGAGCACCCCCAAGGTCTACAGGGTCTGTGTACTCCAGGCTGCACAGAGTCGTAACAAAGACCCAGGCCCGGTTGGTGGTGGCAGTTACCCCTGGTTTGTGGGTGTGCTCCAGAAAGGGGGTTGGCCAGATATAGGCTCCTCAGGGGAAACACCCAAAGCATGTTTTTTTTTGTTGGGCACAGTGAGGCGGATGGCTCAGCTCAGGAGTGCCCCCTACTGACCCACCACAACTCCTATATAGAAACTTGAGTAATAAGGGGGATTTAGTCGGAAGTTATTGCTGGATGACAAGTTTAGCCATTTTTTAGGAAGTGAAGTTAAGGTTACATGTATGGTGTGAAAGGTTATGCAGCAATGAGAAACATAGTAGATCCCTTAACTTTAATTTCCAGATGTTCTAATATGGGACCTTGATTTTTTGTTGGTTTTTTTTAAGGTGTAGAATTTTTAGTAAAGGAAACGATAAAGTGGCTCTGGTTTCTAACTTCTTGTATCAAAATGAATGTGCAGCTGAAATGCTAACCATGCCTGTTAGCCATCCTGACTATGAAAATCTAAGCTATAAATGTTTTAGTATGAAGTATATCTTAATGCAAGTTTTCTGCTACCTAGTTATGTAGATATTAAGCATGTAAACATAGGGGCAAGACTTGTCTGGGGTTATTGTGAATGAAATCTTTCTTTTAAAAGTCAGTAGATCTATGATCTGAATTCTTACATCTTGTGTTTAAAAAAAATTGCACCTATTTTATGGTACATAATGAAAATTGAAGACACAGAAGATTATACTAAAATGCCAGTACCTTTTTTTTTGTTTGTTTCTGTTTAGGTTCAGACATCTTTATCGACAGTAAAGAAAATGGAATGTGGTGTCGTGGAACTATCACTGACCTGATTCCAATGAAAAGTAAAAATGAGGGAAAGCTTTGTGGTTCAGCAAAATACAAAGTTTGTGAAATTGCAGTAATGAAAGTATTCATGATAGATTTTGGAAATTCTGAAGTTTTCATTGTTTCAAGGTATGAGCATAATCTTTACACTGTTTTTACATTTAAAAAACAAAACAAAAAACCCAAGGAGAGAGTCTCTTGTCCTAAACCTCAGTATATCAGCTATTTGTTTGTAGTACTCATTCCACTTTGGAAAAAAGACACTCCTGATAACTGTGTGAAAAGGTAGGGTTGTTGTACACATTTGACTATTACTGTATGCATTGCATACACAGACAAGGTTCCTTGGGTGAATTTGATATCTTTTATTAGACCAACCCAAATGGTTGGAGAATAGTTATTAAGCAAGCTTTCGAAGGGTTTTTGAACCCGAAAGCTTGCTTAATAACTATTCTCCAACCATTTGGGTTGGTCTAATAAAAGATATCAAATTCACCCAAGGAACCTTGTCTGCCTATATCCTTAGACCAACACGGCTACAACCTAAACCCCTGCATTGCATACACATGCACTTAACTGTTTTGTGTGCATTTTTTGAATAGTTGTATGTGAAAATAAATAAATAAGTGTACATGATATAGTTTACATGAGCTATATATGATATAAAATATGAATGCTTGAAGTAGCAGACCTAGGACGGTCTGTGACTGACCAAAATGGACTTTCACTGTTGCTAGCTGTTATGGCAAGTATCACAATAATTGATCTTATCTTCATCAACAGTTGAGTCATAATTCAGAAGGTCTTGGAAATGTTTTTTCCAGCGAGCACAGATGAATTCACTGTCTGTCAGGAATGTTGTTCCATCCTTTTTAACTTAGAGGCTTAAGGCCTTGAGTGCTAGTGCTGTAGGCAAGTCTGGTAGCACTGGAGAAGCCACAAGTGTCACGGAGTTCAGCAAAATGTTGGATTTCTTTTGATTTCTGAATCCACCACTCATTCTTCAGCTCTCGTGTTCTCTGCACCTCTGATTTTGCTTGTTGGTATACATTTTTCTTGATTGCAGAGTTGATGCCATTCTGCCAGGCACAGAAAGCTTTCCAAGTTGACGTTGAACTCCCTCAGTTCACGAGAGACGATTGCTGTCCTTTCCACAGGGCAATCGCTATTTATGTAGTCCATTAAGGAAGACCTGGGTTTGCCGCCTACCCTGGCAGAGGTCGGGAGTGCCATCGGGAAAATGAAGAATAACGAGGCAGCCAGTGTTAACGGAATACCTGCGCAGACTTTCAGAGGAGGAGAACAACTTACATGTGTCAGCTTCATGTCCTCATCCTTTTAATCTGGAGCAAGGAAGAAATCCCAGCCGACCTAAGGGATGCCTTGATTGTTACCATCTTCAAGAAGGGGGACAGAGCTGATTGCGGAAACTACCGAGACATCTCATTGTTGGCCACTGCTGGCAATGTCATCGCCCATATCTTCACTAACCGCCTTCTCCCACTTGCGAAAGAAATTCTTCCAGAATTTCTAAGTGACTTCAGACCATCTCAAGGAACTGCAGACATGATCTTTACAGCATGTCAAATCCAGGAGAAGTGCCATGAGCTAAATCGAACCTCTCTATTTGGCCTTCACTGATCTTTTTAAAGCCTTCAATTCTGTAAACTATGAAGCCCAATGAAAAATCCTGTCCAAAATTGACTGCCCAAACTAGTTCATCAGTGTTCTGAGACTTCTCCATGACAACATGTCAGCAACAGGAATCAAACAGAACCATTTGAGGTGAAAACGAGTGAAACAAGGTTGCCTCATCGCTCCAGCTTTATTTTCCATCTTCATCTCCACCATAATGCACCTCATTGACAGAAAGCTCCCACGTGGAATTGAAATTGTATATAGGATAGATGGAAGACTCTTCAATCTCAACAGACTCAAGTCCAAAACAAAGACCATGGCAACATCAATAATGGAGCTCCAGTACGCAGATGACAATGCTGTCATTGCTCAATCTGAAACAGACCTGCAAACCATTCTTAATGTATTCTCGGAAGTCTACAAGAGTATTGGCCTAACTCTAAACATCAGGAAAATGCAAGTTCTTTACCAACCTGCTCTAAATGGAGACACAAACCCCAACTCCATTCAGATTAACAGAGAATTGCTGGAGAACATAGATCACTTCTCCTATCCTGGAAGCCATCTTTCATCAAAGGCAGACATGGACACAGAAATACAACACCACTTGAAATGCACGAGTGCAGCCTTTGGACGTCTGAGTAAGAGATTCTTTTTAAATCACAACATCCCTGCTGAAACAAATTTCTTGGTTTATCGAGCCATTGTCATTCCAACTCTACTGTATGGCTTAGAAACTTGGACTACATACAGAAGAAATCTCAAGAGCTTGGAAAAGTACCACCAGCAGTGCCTTCACAAGATCCTTCAGATTAGTTGGGAGGATAGACACACAAACATTAGCATCTTGGCCGAAGCAAATTCAAACAGCACTGAGGCCGTGATCATCCAAAACCATCTTCACTGGACAGGTCATGTTGTTTGCATACCTGACTCCCACCTTCCAAAGAGAATCTTTTTCTCACCGCTGAAAGAAGGTCAGCGAAGTAGCGGAGGGCAAAGAAAGTGCTTCAGAGACACCCTGGGCTGCATCCACACATGCTAGCATGTGCACTTGCAGCAGCTCAAATAGAAGCAGTACAAATATGAGCCGGTGCGTTTTGCCTTGGCACACGTACCCAGACATACACTTTGGTGTGAGGCAAATTGTGCCAATGGGGCAAAATAACCCTGCCTGCCTCCTCCCGGATCTGCAGCCAGGGGGAGCTAGAGCCTGCAACTAGCACCCATGCTGGCCCCAGCAATATAAAAAGCTGCCCTGGCAAGTAGCTCAGGGCTACTTGCTCTCAAGAGCTTCTGAGGACAGGCCAATTGGTATCTGGGGACGCTAGCCCTTGTGCCAGCTGGACTGGTGAAGCAGCCCTGAGACTTCCCTTCACCCTCTATGTACTGCAGCAGTCTGACAGTGAGGGCTGCTGCCTGGCTGTGACCTGTTGCCACCTGCAACAGCATGTGGCCCCAAACCTGCGCACCTGCCAGTCCCAGATGGAGACTGCACAGCCAGGAGAGGCACCTTCCCCTTTGGGCCAGCTGCCAGTGGGCTGTGGCTGCACAGTTGCCTTTGTGCCCCTGCCCAGCCGTCTGGGCAGCTATCACCTGTAAGATGTTCCTATGTAGTGGCCTGCTTTGAACTGTCAAAGCATGTCTTCCTGGCCCCAAGTGGCCAGAAGGTCAGCCACCTCCAGCTGGATCCCAGGTGCCAGCCCTGAGCAGGCTTTTCTGCATGGGTCCTGCCACTTTCCTCCCTAGTAGGAATTCCAGTGTTCCCTATTTAAGACCTGTAAAATCTCTGGAAAAAAAATCCCAAATTCACTCTTTAAAATACCCCAAAATCCATGTTCCTCCACAATTAAAACAAAAGACCACTATAATTATAAATATAGAGAGAGAGAGATCAGTTGGGCAATGTTTTATTGATATATTTACAATTTTAAAGCAACTTGGAAGCCTACCAGTGCCTCTGTCATCATAATAAAATAAATTCTAATTATCTATACAGTTTGGCATTAAGTTTGGGCTTCTCTGTCATAGAAAAATCAGAGTTGCTCCTACAAGCTTTGCTCACCAGAATGTGGAGCATTGAGCAGCACTGATATGCCACTGCCCTGCCCCTCCCCCTGCCCTTGCCCCTCACTCTCACCACACAGCTTACCCCCCGCCCCATTCCCCTCACTCCTGCCCCACAGGGCCAAGAATGTGGGTGAGGGGTTTTTCGCAGTGGCTTAGGGGTGTGGGGTTTGTGGGTGGATTGTGGGGGGAGCGTGGGTGTGGAGGGGGCTACAAGGGGGGACTGCTCAGGAGGTGTGGGTCCCCTGTCCCCCGCAGGGCACAGCCCCCCTGCACACCTCATGGGCCCCCCCCCCAACATACACAGGGGCCACATGCCCCTCACATGGGCCAGAGCAACTAGGACCTCGGCTCTGTGCCACATAAGTAGGGCGTGGGAGGAGCTGGAGGAGCAGGGAGGACTGCTGAGGGTGTGGGGGACCATGGGGAGACATCTTGGGAGGGGTGGGTCCACTGGCTGGCCCCCCCCCCCCCCCTCCAGCCCCTTGCTCAGCTTGCAGCCAGGTGCAGCCTCCCCTGGTCAGCTACAGCCTCCTCACTTTGCCTGCACCTGGCTCTAGCCCCCCCTGCTTGGCCCATGGCCGGGTGTAGCCCCCTGTTCGCCTCCCTGCTCAACTGCAGCCCGCGGCAGGGTACAGCCCCTGCTCACCTCCCTTCTCAGCTTCAGCCTCCTCGTTCGGCCCGCACCTGGCTTCAGCCCCCTGACTTGGCCCGCAGCTGGGTGCAGCTCCCTGCTCACCTCCCTGGCAGCCTCCTCACTCAGCTCCCTCTCAGCCCGCGGCTGGCTGTGGCCTGCTTGCTTCCCCCACACCCAGCGGCAGCCTCCCCGCGCGCTCCCCCCCGCCAGCTGCAGCCTCCTTGCTCGCCTCCCACACAGCTCAAACGTCCCCACAGCTTACCAGCAACAGCAGCAGCGCTCTTGGCCTTGTGGCATAGCCCCCCTGCACAGCGAGGGGCAGCGCAGCTCAGCCCCCGCCACCAGGTATCTGCGCAGCCTCTGCCACAGCACACTGCTGTGGCCCAGCTCAGCATAGTGCAGAGCCATGTGCTTTTGGGCAGCTCCGGGCTGTCACCCGGTGCTTCGCATCGCTCACGGGGACCACTTGCCACACCGACCTGGGTCCTGCATGCACAGAAGCTGGACGTCGCAGGGCTCATGCACGCGGTACATGGGCCAGTATGGCTGGGGGGGGCCCCGCGGGGCCCAC